ATTGTATTGACAACCCAAGATTTATAAATAGTACATCATTGATCAATGCAGATAATTCGGGACAACCTGAAATAATTGAATATACGTCAAACCTAGAAGATCATTTTAATTTTAATGACCGTGTTAAGATAGCAGAAATAAAATTAGCGACTTTTTTCGTGGAAAAGGATGTGCCGTTTTCACTTTCATCCGATTTACTTTCGATTATGAAAGATATTGGAAAAGAACCCGGTCTTTTACGAGCAATGTCTTTAAGCAGAAAAAAATTAACGCAAATTATTACTAAAGTCGTGTGTCGTGCAGAAACAGATCGAATATCTCAAGTTTTGAGAGAAAATAAATTTTCAATATATAAAGCTGAAACATCAGACGTAATGAATAATAAATGGTTTCCATTAATGGTTCGTTATGTAGACCCAATAACGTTAGGCATTAGATGTGAATTACTACAAATGATTTACTTGAATGCGAATAATTGCTCGGAAAGTAAGATGTTTGAAGCTTTCGAAAACGAGATGTTGAAAAACAATATTTCACTTCAATTAATCGCTGGTCTTGCTTGCGTTAATTCTTCAATAATAATAGATAACAGTTCTTCCATTCAAACAAAATTGAGTGAAACAAATCCATGTCTTGTTACACTTCCATGTGTATGTCATTCTTCAGCGTTAGCAGCAAAAGTAGCTTGCAAAATAATTCCTCAAGATTGCGAGCGTTTTATTAAAGGTATTTCTGCATTTGTTAATAGTAGTTCTAAAAAATCAGCTATTTTCCGAGATTTTAACATGTGTCTTGAAAATTCTTCTTTGACGACTTTGAAATATGCAGATACATGTTGGCTAACGCGTCACAAATCCATTCAGAGAATTTTGAAAAAGTGGGATACCTTAGGTCAATTTCTAATGGGACAATCATTTGAGAACATTCATTCTGCAGATAACTTGCTCGAGATTTTTCAAAATCCTGCGACAAAAGCTTATTTTTTCTTTTTGAAATTTACGCTTGATGCTTTTAACAAATACAATGTTAAATTCCAAGCACAAGAATCTTTAATTCATGAGTTGCAGCCTTCTTCGATGGAATTGCTCCTTTGGTTCCTTCGGAAATTCATTAAGCCTGACTTACTGAAATCCGAAATACTCGATAGCATAGAAAATTTGAAATTTTCTGATCGCGATAATCAACTCCTTTTAGAAGAAATTGATTTTGGTTCTGAATGTGAAAAATATTTAAAAGAACAATTAGAAAAACAAATTTGCTGTGAAATGGATATTATTTCTATCCGAAAAAACTGCTTGCAATTTTACGTTATAGCAAGCAAACAAATTCGTAAACGTCTTCCAACCAATGACAAGTTTTTAGAGTGTGTTACTGTTTTTGAAAGCAAATCTGTATTATTCGATTGTGATCGACATTCCACGTTTCGTAAAGTTGTTCATGTTAATAACAGATTAGGCGAATTAGTTGATGAAAAATTACTTGAAATTGAATGGGAGTGTCTATACGAAGTCGAGTCAGACACAAAAGAAGAGTGGTCAAATTTATCTTTTGACGATATGTGGATACAAATCGGTTTATTTTCCACAGAGAAAGGACAAGTATACTTTCCAGGTTTACGATCACTTCTGAGCGTTGTGAGAACTCTTCCTCACTCAAATGCTATAACAAAACGTGTATTCTTTCTTATACCAGACGTGAAATCGAAGAGAAATAATAGGTCATTTGAAACATTAAATGCAACCTGCGTTATACGATATGCTTTAAAAGACAGCAACAACACTGCTTGCACCATGAAAGTAACACGTGAGCATTTAAATTTAATGAGTACGGAAAATCTTTATGAACAAAAAAAAGTCAAAACGGAAAAGTAATCTTACATTGCGTGAACAAAATTTGCATGACAGTGATCCTTGACTATGTTTACACAGTGGCTTATAATTCAGTTTAATAACTACCATATACTCAGATAGACAGACGTGTGCAACGTAGCTATTGTAATTATATTATTGTAGAGCATTAAATTATAAATGAAAAATAAACTATGTGTATCTATTATGATGTCGTATTGTTATATATTTTACACATATATTTCATGATGTAGCAATATGTTCTCATTTTGCTACAAACGCATAACTGCAATTATATATTCGTCATAAAGTTCAAGGTAAAATCATCGAAAAGAATACTTCACATTTTATATTAAAAATATAACAAAATTTTAAATATCTCAGGAAATTCTTATCGAAAGAGAGCTTTATTACAGTGTTTTGAAAATGTCTCGACGAGATCTACAACTTTTATCTCAAGAAAAAATCAAGTTCCATTTAACCTTTAGAGCGCCGGCATTTGATGAGCTTTAATCCTCTTAGAAAGTCCTCAAATTGTGCTTATATCTTATATATAACATATACAAAGTTCCGATCATACGTAGAGCCTATATTTAGGCTTTCCGGCGGTCTAAAGGTTAAGAAATTAGTCATTAAAATTTCTTGAAAACGACATCTATGACACGACTCACATCGAAATCACGTGCCCCCTTTAGACCATCCAACTTTTGTTTGGAACCTTTTTCCGTATCTTCTATATTTTTCGAGATATTTCGCTGCATCGATTAAAATGACTCACTTTGTACATATCTGTACCTTAGAGGTAAAGAATCGTATTTCCAGTTTTGTCAAAATAAGCGTTAATACATAGTAAGTTTATTAGTAAATATGCATTAAATGTACAACAAATAAATTTTCTGTACATTGATTTATCTCTGTATTAAATAATATGTTAAATTTTGTAATCAAAATCTATTATTAAAAACAGTTTTACTGTATCGACTCTCAGAGTTTCTGCAAACTCTCTACGTTTATTATTCAAACTAAGATATGAAAACTACTTTATAATATATATACATAACAAAACTACACGGGCTGTTGCTTTAACCATCAAGAATTTTGGAATTCCCACAAGTTACTAATTTTTCGGTGCCAAACACTGATTGATCACACCAAGAAGCATAGAATTTTCTAAAGCTGCAGCCACTCTTTCCTTGTCCGCGAGCTGTTTGTTCACTGCTGCCTCTGAGAAATGAGTACCCGGAGAAATTTCCACGCTAACCTTGAACCTAGCAGGTAAGGCACGCAATAATTGTACGCGAATGGACAATCCGATTAGAGTGGCCATGCTGCAATGTGGAATTGTAGGCGTGAACTTTATATCTACTCTGTTCTTTTTATCATCGACCTGTAATACAGAGTTGTAAGCAACTTCAAAATGCAGTAAAGTAATCAAATCTAGTATGATATATTGATTAGAAAAATATTTTACCTCAATGAGACTCTGTTCCACTACGTTTAATTCCTCCAAAGTCAAAGGATGCTCTGGATCATTGATATTCCTAATTATATCTGTAAATTAGTTAATGATCAATATTACCTTTTTATATTCCATTTATAACAGAGAACATACATAACTATGTTTACAATGTATGTACATTCAGCATATTATATTTTTACATTTCATTAGATAATATCGCATAATACATTAATAATGCAAATGCAATGATTCTTTTTATCTTTTATTATAATGCAAAATATTAAATAAATCATACATTTTATTGTTCACACTTGAGAGTTAGTTTCCTAATTTTTAATCGTCAATAAAACATCTGACAATTGCAAGCATTAATGAATAGAATATCTTATACGCGAACAAAAAATATATAAATAATTTCATGAATAATTGACACTGTACTTAGAGGTTATGTACCAAAAATCTCTCGCGCATCAAATTCATCCACAACATCTTCGTCTTGCTCTTCAACTGTGATCTCTCGATCATCCAATTTTTTGTAGAGCTTCGGATTAATGTTCTCCAAATTTTCACTCATCGTGTATCATTGAATAAACGTCAAATTTTCATAATCCGGTCACCTGTCATTCATAGATTACAAAGATTACAAACAAACATTAAGAGCATAGACGTGAGAAATAAATAAACAGAAGGTGAACCGAGCAGAAGCGAGTTTCTTTCATGAAAAGGGTCGACTAGAGAGACTCGCCAACTTATTCTGGACTCTGATTGGCTGGGGTTTTAATCGTCTATAAAGTTCAGATGGTGCACTACATGTTACACCATTTGTACACTGTGTGCACTATAAATAACTATTCTTCTATTATATGCTTCATATTTCCGCATTTATTTTATCCTTATC